AGAATATAAAAGAATAAAAAAAATCTAAAAAGAACCCTAGAATTTACGGCGATGATTGCAGAAGATAAGATCAAACGAAAGTGATGAATCAAACTATGTTTATTAAAAAATAATAAATAAATAAAATATGATCGAGCAATTCTCTATGGCACTCTAGAAAAGTGAGAAACAAAGAGAGGTAAAGGAATGGCCAGTGGAAAAGGGAGAGTAGATAGAAAATATACTTATGTGACCGTAAAATATACAACCCTTTTACATATTGCTGATGTGGCAGTCTATCTTAACAGCTGCTGGAGATGAAAAAAATTACAAATCATATGTGGCAATATATATTTTACACACAAGAATTTTAACGTATCGCTTGAGATGCTTTTAAGTGTCTTGTTTTGTTTGTGAGCTTTTTGTTGCTTTTTGTGCACAGGTGACGAATGTTGGGATTCTATTCTCAAGTAGTTATTTTGCACTATAAACTAAATTGAAGTAGATAATTATGCGATTGCCTCTCCATTGCAATTTAATTTAAAAATGTTCCATATGACGTTTCTTCTCTTCATGACGGTTTTTCTTAAAGTTGGAGCGTCTTTTAAGGAGTTCAGGAGTGCAGATACTATAAATGGGGCAAAGATGTCTGAGGTGTCTATTTAAACTTGAATATATTATTCGCTAACAGATATTGTGCTATAGCATCTCATACATGCTTGAATATGCGAATTCTAGAGCACAATAACTGCAGAAAAAGATATGTGACTAATTCTAGATAAGAGAATACTCGAAATGGTTGCTTGCCACCATAAGACTGGTTTTGTCACTGAGATCATGCTGATGAATGGTTTGGATCATTTACGGATTGGATCTTGGAGGTGAATGGTTTGACTCGATTACGGATTGGATCTTGGAGGTAAAGTTTTCGCTGAAGACAAGTCTCCTCTTGTAATATTCTTTTCTATCCGAACATGCAACGTCTTCATTGCGGACCTGCAGTCGGGCCACTCTGCCTACCCGAGTGGCACACTCGGACACCTTTAAAATCGGGTGTTTGGCGTGGCACTGAATTAAAGACTCCGTCTGATTCTGATACCAACTGTAACGAGTGGAGGCTTGTCTGTTAATTGAAAAGGTTAAGCTATTGTGTAATTTAGTATACCCATTCATTTATACCCGTTTCATCCGGATCCGATATGGGGGCAAGTCTTCCCTCGTAACTTTAACCGCAATTGCGCTTATGCAAACCATTATTTCCAATTGAAATTATAAATATTATTAAGACATAATAAATCAAGGGTAAAGTACAGCCACACCCCTAAGGTTTAGGAAAATGACACTCAGAAAAAATTTACTTATTTTTTGGACAAAAACACCCCCAAAAGGTTCAAAAATAGACAAAGACACCCCTTTACATGAGAAATTGACCAAATTATCCTTTGACTGTTTAAGAGACTTTTTTAACTTTATAATTTAATAAATTGGACCAATCTAACCTCATGAACAATTTATGCATTAAAAAAAAAAAAAAAAAAAAAAACTTTATATTGTTCACTTCTTTTTTTATTTATTTTTTATTACTTTATAAATGTCCCAATTTCTTATAAATGTAGACGTCTAAAATGATTTTTTGATCCAATACATATATTCAAATAAATTATATTTTGTTATTACTTCTCTTCTTTTTCTTTTTCATTTTTAAATTAAGATGTTTAATTCTTTCGATAAAAAAAATTAAACCAATCTATGTATCTTAAATTATATATCAAATATTATTCATTTCCCAACATAAAAGAAAATAGGTACCAGTATAACTTTATGCATCTTAACTTTATACATGCCTTTGTTTTTTTTTTTTTTTTTTCTCTTTGTTTTATTATTATTTTTTTCCCTTTGTTTTATTATTATTTTTTCTCCCTTTTATGTTGGGAAATGCATAATATTTGATATATAATTTAAGATGCATAAAGTTATACTGGTAACATATTTTTTATTTTTAAGGAAAAGAGATTGGATTAATTTTTTTAGATGAAAAAATTAAGCATCTTAATTTAGAAAATAAAAAAGAAAAAGAAAAGAAGTAAAAACAAAATATAATTTATTTGAAATATATGTATTGGTTCAAAAAATCATTTTAGACGTCTATATTTTTAAGAAGTTGAGACATTTATAAAGTAAATAACAAAAAAAAAAAAAAGGATTGAACAATATAAAAAAAAAAAAAATTATCTTTTTTTTATGCATAAATTGTCCATGAGGGTAGATTGGTCCAATTTATTAAATTGTAAAGTTAAAAAAATCTCCTAAACAGTCAAAGGGTAATTTGGTCAATTTCTCATGTAAAGGGGTGTCTTTGTCCATTTTTGAACCTTCAGGGGGTGTCTTTGTCCAAAAAATAAGTAAATTTCCTCTTAGTGTCCTTTTATCAAACCTGAGGTGGTGTAGCTGTACTTTACCCATAAATGGAATATCAAGATGTCCATTTTTTTTTTTTTTTTTTTTTTTTTTTTTTGAGGTCCATTAAAAAGGAAAATGAAAAAGAAAACAAAGATGATAAAATATAAAATTAGGCTAGAAGTTACAAAGGATAATAAAATATAAAATTGGAGTAGGAGTTCTTTTAGGAGGACAAAAACGGTAGCCAGCAAGAAGCCTGTTGTGGAGGAAGAGAGTAGGGTCAGGGATGCTCAATTTGGGCTTGTGGAGTCCACTTACTAGTCAACAGACTGGTTAGAGCATAAAACAAATTGGCAGGCCCAACCCAGCCCACTTTCAAGCTTTTTGGTGGGCAGTGGGCTTCATTTGGCTTTTCAAACATTGAATATTAAATCTTTCCATTTATTTTTGAGTTAAAATCATAAAATTTTCATCTACTTTTCAAAATCGTGCATAAAATTTTCAGTATAATTAAAAAATCTCATGAACTAACAAAATTTATCAAGTTACTATTAAACGTGTGATCGATCAATTAAATGGATTCTAAAATTTCAAATTTAACCTTATTATTTAATATTAAATTAAAAGTTATAGTTATTATTTTACTCAAAATTAAATAGAAATTTAAAAAATTCCTTGTACTTTTAATTAGAAATAAATAAATATATGATTATAAAAATATATCAAATAGAATGGAAATTCAAAATTGGATATAAACTCTAAAAATTCCTTATACTTTTTTTTTTCTTACTCATCCATTGAGGCTCGAACCTTGACCTTCATTTGGAAAATAGGGGCTTGATACTGTTAAGCCACTTATCCGTTGGTAAACTCTAAAAACTCACGATACAAACACATGTCAACGTCAAATTTTTAAAAAGTAGGACATTGGAATAACGTGAACACAACTATATATAAATATAAATTTTTAGTTATATACATCTATTGATTAATAATATTATAAAATGTTGATTATTTTCTAATTTCTATACTAATAGTTGCTTTGAAATGACGTAAAAGATAAAATTATATCACTATTGTATTATTAAATAGAGAGAGGTAAGTGCAAAAAACACCCTTAATGTATATCCCGTAGCACTTTTACCCTTATTTGAAAAAGTGTGCAAAAAAATCCTTTATTTTTTTCACATTGTGTGTAAACACCCCTCAATAAAAAATCTAACGTAAATTAATACTATAATATCAGTTTTGTCCTTTTACTCTTTTGAAAATGCCCAGAGGGTATGTATGCTAACAATATTATGCCCAGAGGATGTGTATGTTAATAATCTCATAGTATAGACAGGGACGGAGCCAGTATAGGACCGGGGGGCACGTGCCCCTCCTGGATTTTTTTCTTTCCTTATTTTTTATATATATTTTCCTATAATAGGTATATATTTTTTAAAAATGTGTAAAAGTGCCCTCCCTTAAATTTCTCCTTCCCTTATATACTCTATATGTTTCCTTAAAAAAAAATTCTTAAATTATTTCATTATATTCTATATATGTAATTTATTGAATTACCTCATTCCAAAAATATCAATCTCTATTTATATTTATCCAACTATTTCTCTTTATGTATATATATTCCATAAATATTAATTTATATTTATTTAGTGTATAATGTGCCCCCCTGAACAAAAATTCTGGCTCCGTGTGCATATTAAATATATATTTTTTTTATTATTATTATTTTTTACTCTATGGTGAGTCAATGGACTAAACAACTTACTCCTTAAATTTGTACACCCACACACACAAAATTTTACTTTCAAATTCATTTTCCCTCTAACCCGACTCTCTTTCTCTTATTTGAAGCTTTTGGTGGCCATAGCGGTACGTGATGTGTTCATGTTGGCGGCACGGAACAAGTTCAAAGGTGGACAAGGCTTGCATTCCGGTAGTATGATCCGAAATGAAATCATGTCCATTAGCAGAGCTGCTGATTTTTTAAAAAAAATTGGTCAGCCTAATCAATACAATACCTTCTATTTTACAAACAAATCGGCAGATGCTCTGATTTCTCTCTTCAATTTTGTGTAAAAAATATAAAATAAAATAAAAGAAGAGGATTCAGAGACGAAAAGATGAATGATAGGAGATAGCAAACAAAGCGAGAAAGTAAGAAAACTCTGAAGAGTGGGAAATGGTGGAGATAGAATTGTTGGCGTGTTCAAAAATACGACTGAATCAAAAATTTGAATTTATCAGGCTAGTTGATTTGATTCGACTTTTTAGGGTTTGGATCGGTCACTATTCAAAAAATATAGAACCATAATTATATGATTAAATTATAGTTTGAGTCCTTCGCAAAATGACTGAATTGAACCAATTTGCTCTCTCTCTCTCTCTCTCTCTATATATATATATATAATAAAAATAATAATAATAACATTGTATTCTAACCTGAGTTACACAATTCATCCAAAGAACTTCCCTCTCAAACTCCACGTGTGCCCCAATTATATGGCATTGCTATACTATCCCACACACACACATATATTAATTATACATATCTAAAAATATATCACTAAAAAACTTCGAAGAAAATTATAAATAAACCAAGCACGTAATTTATTTAAACTTAATATACAGACCACTGTGTGACTTAAATTATAACCCCTAAAAACAAAATTCTTATTCCTTAGAATATTTTTGTCGTAAAGGTCAACAACACCAATTCTAATCATTGTTTAGAGTACAAATTTATAATGGGACGTTCCACATACAGTACAAATTAACATTAACATTGGGAACACTGATGCGGCTAAAAACTAGTCATTAAATAGACATTAAAGTATAAGCAACATCGTTGTGAATGCAAGTTACAAAAATTGGAGAAAGCATTAAGAGTTCCGCAAGCATAAAACTACTTTTCAGGAAAGTTTGTGGAGAACACTTTTTGTCACTGCATTTTTAAATATTCCATTCTTGAACGTGATCATCATTGTCAGGATCCAACTTTTAAACACGTTTGTGCTATTTGCCCAGTTTTTGCTATCATTACCACCGGTCAACTGACAGCAAAATACCATTCGCCCCTAAAACCTAAGAAGAGAAAGTTGAATCATCAATTCCAATACAATTATGTAGTATTTCATATATATATATATATCTATCTTACCAGTTCAACCAGTGTCGCCGCCTTCTGAACACCACATGCAAATTGCTCCTCTCTGTCAAACGTATGCTAGGATAGGTCTAGGTGCTAGGTAGAAAGGGGAAAAAAAAAAAAATGTAAATTGTTTAGGAAACAGAATAGAATTAGAGAAAAGGTAAATTATTTTTATTTAGAAAGACTTTGTGTTATGCATTATAATAAGAACTAAAATTTATAATTTCATTTTTATTTTTATTTTTTAGGATAAATTGGGGAAGAGTTAGAAAAAGAATGGAATTCGAAGAAAAAGGTAAATTATTATTTGGGGAAGATTTAGAAAGAGACTACAATATTACTATTATTATTTTTATTAAGAGTTTGTGTTATGCATTACAAAAATAAATATTTTTTATTTTTTAGGGTAAATAGGAGAAAGTGAATAGGAAGGGTTAGAAATAGAATATAATTTGAAAAAAAAGGAAGGAATTAGAAAGACTATAGAATTAGGAAAAATGTAAATTTATTATTAAAAAGAATTAGAAATATAATAGGATAATGAAAAATATAATTTATTATTAAAATGCATTATAAAAAATATATATATATATATAAATGATGATCCAAAAGTCTTTGTACTTTTAATAATAGTATAGAATAGAATAAAGGTAAATAAAATTGTAGAAATAAAAAATAGGCTTACATAGAAAGAGGGGCAGAAATAAGTGCGATGTAAAGTCTAGAAAATAATAGATAGACTATAATAAAGATAAAGAAAATTGTAGACATAAAAATAAGCTTACATAGAAATAGGAGCAGAAATAAGTGTGTGAATGTCATGATGTAGAGTCTAGAATATATAGTAAACACAATTTTACCTCTAAATTTCCCCCTATTTTTTATTTTTATTTTTAATGCCGGGTGAACAACACAAGATCACGATAATTACTTTCACCTCTCAGGAATTTAAAATACATTTAAAAAGCAAAGGGAAAGTACCCGACTTCAGGATCCTCATCGGACAATTCATCATAGAACGAATTCTCATAACGGCACCATTGCAAATAGGACAATTCATTATAGTATGATTCCCGATCGGATTCCTGATCGGAACATTCCAAAACTCCAACTATTCCTTCTGGGAGGATCTCATAATATGGAATACATTGTTGATCGTGCCTGACTTGTGTTTCAAAACGTCTGTCGCCTAACTCTGTCCCACGGTCAGACTCGAAGCTATATATGCAACTCTATTGGCTACAACGTTTTCTTGAGGATATTGAAACAATATGTCATAGTCATCAAATTGTAACAACATATGAAAAATTTTGCTGCAAAAATATAGTTTTTACATCAATATAATTTGAAATATCAATATAATTGGAAACTGGAATCTAAATTTAAAGAATAGAATCAAACTTTATATAAAAAAGCTTACTGATAAAGTTCAAAATATTCCTTTGGTATACGCTCCTCACGACGTAGCACCTTGAAAATTTTTTTATGGTCAATCCCCAATATTATTTTCTTCGCTTCTGATCTCTTTTGGAGTATCTCATCTATCCCATGATGCACTCCAAGTAAGACTACTTCATCTCTAGATGTCGCATCAGGAAGTGGCTTATGGAAAATTTCCAAAATCCTTCCCCTAAAATCCCTTAATACTTCTCCACAAGAAGCTTCTTTGGTCCCACCAAGAGTTTCCTTAAAAAACCCAGAAATGTTTAACTTGTAAAATTCATCGGGTGGCGCATCCCAACAATGGAAAGTTGTATAGTGTGTTAGTAAATTCGCCGGACAACTCTCAATAACATAAATTTGCTGCTTGAACATGTAATTATAAATCCATTTTTTGTACTCATTAGGAATCCTGAGGAACCACCACATGAAGCTGTCTATCGACATGTATCTCGACTTGGAAACCCCAGCCACATGCCAATCACTGTTAACCATTTTGTACAACCCATAATTTTCTAATATTATGTTGTGCTTCTGTTCAAAAAAAAGATGTTGGGTTTGACAAAATCCCTGTTGTTTAATGATCAAACAGTATTTTGTTAAAATAATAATAATCTGAATTATATAAAAATTAAATATTATATATGTATTGAACTTACAATTAACATGTCGAAGTTTTGAAACTGTCCTTCCTTGATAAAAGATACTAAATCTGCGATTAAATTGTCAAAGTTTGGAAACTTTCCTTCCTTGATGTAAATGGCACGCACCATACGATGAAGAGTTCCTAAGGGGGCACAATATAAAAACATAATTAAAGGCAAAAATATAGCAACAAATAGATAAACATTTTAATCACATGAAGCAAAAAATCTTTCTTGATTGTTTTTAAGTATCAGGTACAAATATAGAAATGATAATAAAATTCCCTGGAAGCACAGACTTAAGAGTTTCTTCACTACTCTAACCAAACCGGTTTGGCACCGAGACGTTCCTCGCAACAAGGCCTTGATTAGATGAACTCCTGTACTCACTCGAGATAACACTCTCCCACTCGTGCGTATACTAGTGTTGTACCCTCAGTTGGCTTGCACGCTCACACACACTTAGGCACGTTTTCTTGGATGATGACTCAGAAGGTAAGAGAAGAGATTTGAGGTCATGCTTCGTTGGGAAATTCAACAAAGAAGTGGGATCTAGGGCTCAGGTTGCAGATTGGGCCTCGCGTGCTTGGAAAGTGTCTCCGGCAGTGGTTGTGTCACCTCTGCCGGACTCTCTGCTCCTCTTTCGTTTCCCCTCTTCGGCGGAAGCAGAGAGAGTGCTCAAGGAGGGGTGACGTGACTAGGGGAAGACCACTCTTAGTGTGGACTCATGGAATTTCAGGGTGGGTTGCTCCGAGGTTCTGAAAGAGCAAGGGCTGGAGAATTTCAGCCACCCTTTGCATCTCTAGAGTCACTCTCTTTTTGTGATGGTTAGGGATTTGAGTGGAGGCTTCATTTGGGTGGACGCTGATGAGTCCCTTGATGGTGAGAAGGTTCGAATCACTGTCTCTGACGGACGTGCTTGCCCGCTGTTCATTTTCGTTCACGATGATCGTTTTTGCTACAAGGTGGCTGTTTGGGAGGAATCACATCCTCAGCTCGTTCCGACAATTGATAGCTTGGAGAGGAGGGGGGGGGGGGGGGGGGGCTCTCACTTGCTGAAGGAGGAGGAGTGGTTGAGATGGGTTTCCATGGGTGAGAAGGGGACGAATGATTTCCGGCGATGGAAGAAATGGAGGGATAAGCTCTGGGACCGAAACATAGTGCGCTTTAGACAACTTTTTACTCAGCGAAGGAGAGAAAGCTCTTCTTCTTCGTCGGTTGGTAGCCGGAAAGTTCAGAGGGGCGGCGGTTTTGGTTTTGGCCATCAGTTACAGAGATGGGATAGGAACATTCATAGAGGTGGTTGTCACGCGCGATCGGCGGGTGGGTGGGGGAGAAAAGATGCCCCTACACGTGGTTGGCGCTGAGGCGAGGCCCGTTCGCAATGGGTTACAGCTGGTGCATTTTCAAATTCATTTGTGAGGGCAAGAAATGACAAGTTGGGTTCAGGTGTTGGTGGGCTTGCTCACGGGCTAGCAAAAGAGGATTTGGTGGTATGGGCTCATGATCCTTGTGGGCTGGTTTCTGGGCCTATTCTTAAAGAGGTGCATGATCCGGTGTGTTGTGGTCCAGATAGTGAATTGGCGGCCCAAATCAATGTTTCTGAAGGCACGGAAGGCCCCTCTGCTGGATTGGGCTGTGGGTTTGTGGTTTGGCTGGTTTCTCAGCCAGATTCATCTGGGCTTTTATGTTCTGGTTTTGAAGTGGCTAACCGTTTTGGACCACTGTCTTCCTCCTTTGATGGTACATCGGCTCAGCTGTCTGGTTCAGTTGAACGGTGAGCTAGGAAGCCACCGCAGGGACGCCGTTTGAGGTCTAAGAAGCAGCTTCTTCTCCCTCCCTTTCGACGAAGATGGACACAGAATGAAAAACAGAAGTGGGTTCCATGTGTTGTTAATGATCCGGGTAAGTCTGTTTTTCAGCAAAGTTTTTCTTATGTTGCTCCTTCATCTGCTTCCCCCTCTCCTTCTTCGGCTGTGGTGAGAAAGTCCTTGGAGAGGTCGAAAGGGCTGGTTTCTTCTGTTTCCAGAAACCTCTCCTCGATTTTTGAGGATGGGTTGGTGAGTGGGTGGGGAGATTTACTTGGGGAATGTCAGGTTGATGGGTTGGGCCACTCTCGTTCTGTTGAATGCAAGGGAGAGAATGTTACAGTTTGTGTGGGACGTGATGCGAAGATCTCTCTGGATAATGATTCTGCTGCTGTGCTTTTGAATGAACTGCGGGCTCATCTTGCTTTGAAAGATTTTAAGAATGAGCAAAGTGGTCACTTGGCTGAGGAGGTTTTTGGGACTCTGCAGTCTTGCTGTTCTCCATCCTCGTCAGCGGCTGGGATTGGGGAGAAGGGGTCATGTTCTCTTTTAATGGGGATTTGGGAATGGTTATGTGGAATGGATGTGAGTCTGATTTTGATTTGTTTACCCCTTTGGCTGCTGTTAAACCGAAAGGGGATTTTGCGAATGGGAATGGTTTTGTTTCAGATGTGGCTGTTTTGGAGGATGATTGGGTGCGGGAAAAGGGAGTTGAGGTGGGTTCCCTTTTGGGAGTTTCTTTTGAAGGTCGGATGGAGGAGGCGACAAGTTTATATCTTGATGTTCTTAATGGGAAGTAGGGGGAGTGGGGGAGTGGGGTGAGTTTCCCAGTGGGGAGGGCGGATAGGGGGGTTCCGAGCCCCTCAACTGTCATCACTTATGAAAGGAGGAGTAGGGGGTCTAGGGAGAGGGCGAGTGAACTGAGGGGAGAGACGGTCAACTCTACTGTTTCCCTATGAAGCTACAAATTCTTTCATGGAATGTCCGGGGTCTCACTGACCCGGCTAGAAGAAAAGTGGTAAAATCGGTGATTCAGAAAGGGGGTGGTCACGTCGTATGTCTGCAAGAAACCAAGATTGCCTCGATGATGGATGTGATTGTCGTAGCTTGTGGGGAGGAAGATTTGTGAAGTGGTTTGCCTTGGATGCGATTGACTCTTCGGGTGGTATCTTGATTATGTGGGATTCCCGGTGCATCTCTTTGTTGGAGCCTCAGGTCGGGCTTTTTTCGGCTTCCTGTGTTCTCTCTTTGGTGGAGGACGGATTTCGTTGGGTTTTTCCTGGCGTCTATGGTTCTTCAGAGGATAGTGTTTGTCATTTGCTCTGGGAGGAAATGGGGGAGATTCGAAGGAGATTGTCTCTGCCTTGGTGTATGGATAGGGATTTCAATGTTGTGTGTTCTCCTTTTGAGAGGTCGACAGGGGGTAGGTGGACGGCCGACATGGTTTCTTTGTAGGAGTTCATTGATGCTTTTTGTTTGCTTGATTTGCCTTTGGTGGGTGAGCCTTACACTTGGTCCTGTGGTCGCTCACCTCCTACTCTCTCTCGACTTAACAGATTCCTTTTGTCAAGTGATCGGGAGGAGAAGTTTTCTGATGTTGTTCAGACCACTTTGGCTCGCCCTTTGTCTGACCATGTTCCGTTGATGTTGGATTATGGTGGGCTGCGTAGCAGAAGATTCCTTTTCAGATTTGAGAATATGTGGCTTCGGGCTGAGGGTTTTCTGGAACGAGTCCGATCCTGGTGGGTGGGGTATGGAGTGTTTTGCTCCCCAATTCATTCTTTCACAGGTACTAATCAAAAAAAAAAAAAAAAAAGTCATTCTCTCGCAAGTAAACTGCGTCTTTTGAATAAAGATCTTAAAGTTTGGAACAAAGAGGGTTTCAGGAATCTGGCTTGGAGGAAGAATCGGATTCTTTCTGAGATTGCTGATATTGATAGGCTAGAGGGATAGGGCCTCTTGCCTATTCCTTTGAAACTTGGGAGGGTGGAGTGTCAGGCAGAGTTTGTTAAGATCGCTGTCTTGGAGGAGATTTCGTGGCGGCAAAAGTCTAGAGCTTTGTGGCTCAAAGAAGGCAACAATAATACAAAAAAAATTCATAGACTTGCCAATGCTCACAGAAGGGGCAATCACATTGGGAGGATTCGGGTAGATGGAGAGCTGTTTTGTAAGGAGGAGGAGATTTGCAAGGGTTTTGCTAATTATTTTTCGGTATCAGTTGGTTGGCGGCCTTTGCTTGCAGGGCTTCACTTTAACTCTATTTCAAGGGAGGAGTGCTCTGTTTTGGAAGAGCCTTTTTCGGAAGAGGAAGTTTTGTCTGCTTTGAAGAGCTGCAATGGGGATAAAGCCTCTGGTCCAGATTGTTTTTCTATGAGTTTCTTGTGGAGTGCTGGGAGGTGATCCGTGAGGAGGTGATGGGCTCTTTTCACACATTCCATGATCAGGGCTCTTTTGAGAAGAGTTTGAATGCCACTTTTATTGCTCTTATTCCGAAAAAGGGAGGAGTGATGGATGTTAGGGATTTTCGCCCTATTAGTTTGGTGGGATGTTTTTACAAGTTGATTGCTAAAGTCTTGGCCTCTAGATTGAGGAAGGTTTTGGATGGCATTATTTCTGACTCTCAGAATGCCTTTGTGGTAGGTCGTCAGATTTTGAATTCAGTTTTTATTGCTAGTGAATGTGTGGACTCCCGATTGAATTGTAATACCCCTAAATTTTTCAGGATTTTAATTATTTATTTTATTTCAATTTATTTATCTATGTGCCTATTTGAATTGCTATTTATTTATTTTTAAGGGTTTTAATTTGTTTGTCATTTAAATGTTATATTTAGGTTTTATTTTATTTTAATTTTTTCTACTTGGTTAATTGAATTGTTCATGGAGGGTTTATTTATTTGTTATTTAAATATAATAATTTAGTAGAAATTCTTTAGTAAATTGTAAATTGTTCATTGATTTTATTTTATTAGTTAGTTTTATGGATGGGTAGATATATATATATATATATATTAAAGTGTTATATATATATATATATATGGTTAGTGAATTATAAATCTTTATATAATTAAATTGTATTATTTATATACTTAGTTACATATGGTTTTTATGTACACAGGAGGAAGTCACTTTTTGGTTGATTAGTTTTTTTAGTATTATTTTTTAGTTAGTGGGTTTTAGTATGGTAGTTTAATTATATTATTATATCATTTTTTTTATTTTATTATGATGGTGGGCTCGGGTCATTGGTCTGGTAGGTGGTATTTGGAGTTTAGGTTAGTGTTTTATATATATATATATATAGGTGAAGGCCTTGGGTGGAGGAGCTACTACGCAGTAAAGAAAAAAAAAAAAAAAAAAGAGAGAGAGAGGCGGCAAAGAAGAAAGAAAGAGAGGAAAGAAAAAGGGGAAACAGAGAGAAAGAAAGAGAAGAAAAGAGTGATTTGTTAGACGGGGTGAAGAACCTTGGACAAGGGGCTGCCATAGATGTTAACCGGTAGTTAACGGCGACCCGAAAGCCGCCGGCGTCAAGGAAAATCGAAGAGGAACGGTGTAGAGTTTTGACCCGAAACTCTAAAAGGCAAGTCTTCGTTCGTTGATTCCATGTTCGATCCATCTGTAGAACGACTTTAGGGAGTTAATTACAAACTAAATTTAATTTTTATGTGGAACGGATCATAGCAGAGAAATAAATAAAGTTGGATATATATATATATATATATATATATATATATATATATATATATGTTGCTATTTTTTTTATTTTTTTTTTTAAGACATATATATAAATGTGATAATTTCGTAAATCATGAGTCTGTATTTAGTATGGACTATTGGGATGATTGATTTGAGTTTGAGTTTAATGCCAAGGGGTGGAATCTGTTGGGGTGTTGTGAAATCAATGGTAAGATGGGTTTGGCTTGGGTCAGTTGTATATATATGTACACTGGTGGTTTATTGTGATATATATAACACATGTGAAAATTGTATTAGCATGTAATTTATTAAAGTCATACTTTAGTCTTCAATTTTATTCATGGGTTCACTATTATTGCATAGTTTATTTGGTTTATTTATATATTATTTTATGTACAGCATGTAAGCGTTGCTATTAACATGCTATGGTTTAGTCTAGAAAAGTCCTGGCTTAGACCTTGGGTTCGTTTATATATTGAGTGTTATAATTTATTTGTATAGTAACTAGTAATGATAATGGGTTAATGTAATGACACTTATTTGAATTGCAAGTTATTATTGTAATGTCTATTAATAGCTACATTGTTATAGCAACTGTCGTAGAGGATGATATTTTATAAATTATTCATGTAACAATAAATGACTTTACGTTTGTTGCAAGTCTTTCCTATAGTACTTATATCAACTTATAAACTTATACATAATTATATGTATGTGTAAGATGGGATACCATCGTCAGGATATGGTCTTAGCAGCACCATTGTTAGGATATGGTCTTAGCAGCACCATTGTTAGGATATGACTTGCTGGTATATATATGGACTGACTAATAAGTCTAGATCCATACGTTTTGGTCATGCTATCGTCAAGATATGGTTATGACTTTAAATTGTGCCATTATCAGGATATGGCTACAATTAATTACATAAATATATTGGGTACCATGATACGAGTTTGAGATCTCGCGATCGTTGGTTAGGATTGGCGTATATTGCCGGATGAGATGAGTAGCTGGTTATAGGGATGTGTGTGCCCTAGTAGAAGAGGTACTCGTGACCACCTTGTGTGCGCTTACATGAGACCAACTATCCGGTTGAGGCCGTCTTATGATCCACTGAGAGTCTATAGTGTGTATATTTATGTATATTGACCTACATAGCTATTGCATTAGTCGGACTAGGATGGATTGTTATCGGGTCTCTGTTTATGATGTAGTAGAAAGGGCTTGTTCGTGAGTTTTGACCCACCTTTGTTGTTATCTTTTCAGGTCCTCGACAGTTCTAGACATAGAGTCAGTTCGTGCAGAGCAGAGGCCAGACTTCATCACTCTTCCGATGTTATAGACGTAGGACCCCAGTATGTTTTCGTTATTATTTATTATTTTTGAGTTAGACATTTATTTATTTCGTCTTTAGTTTGTTGTGTTATGTGAAATGCTCCAATCTTGTTTCATTGCATAGATATTATGCATTATCCTTGATTTCAAGTATTTTTCTTGTCTTGTTAATCGACATTCGACATCACTTTCTTAGGGAACTTGTTGAACAAAATGTCGTGTCTTTGGAAAAAGTGCATGCTGATCAGAATTTGGCTGATATTCTCGGTGGTCCTGAGCTTTCAAACTTTTTACGAGCATGTCATCCACATATACTTCCATATTCCTTCCGATTTGGTTCTTGAACATCAAGTTGACTAGCCGCTAGTAAGTGAATGGACAGAGATTGAAACCCTACATTGAGGGGCAAGTCTTTCAAAGACATATGACAGTTGTCCTCTTGGTGGATCCTGTCTATAAAGATATTTAGTTTCTCGCGCCGAAAGGTGGAGGGCCCAAACTCTAGGTTAATAACTTGTTCGTTCGAGTGGGAGTAATGGTATCAGAAGATAAGACATCCACATTTATGATCGAGAAGTTCAATGGCACAAACTTCAATTTCTGGAAGATGAAAATAGAAGACCTCTTGTTTTGGGGCCCAGTTAACTCAACCACGCTAGGAAAATCTCCCTAGTCCCCCCTAGGCCACACTAACCCCACGGGACAAAATAGTCACTTCTAAAAATATGGATTGGGGTGGCACCGAGCACACCACTGGAAAGAGAACGAAAAACAAATCAAAATGGACTCAAGAATACTTAAGTAGAATGCAACAAAGTCACCTTTCCCCCAAACTTAAACTGCACATTGTCCTCAATGTGCAATGACAAAAGGAGTTTCCTTGGCGAGAAGATTGCACAAGGGTCTAGCAATTTTGCTAAAGCCTTTAATAAAACGGCGATAGAAGCTGGCATGTCCTAGAAAAGAGCGAACCTCTCTCACCGTTGAAGGTGGGATTTTTATTAGGGGTCCACGTTGTATGGATTCCCAAGTTGTACTCTGGAGGTTTAATTCTTATAATGAAAATCTATTGGAGATTAATGTATTAGAGGATTTATTATTTAATTATTAATTTAGATTTCCCTTTTAGCGTCATTTAATTATTTAATTTTTTTATTCCTCTTGTATTCCGTGTTTGTTTATTATTGATTGGCTGATATTCCTTAATTTTGTGCGCGGACCAGATCAACCTGTGTTCCGGAATTTGGGGGTGTCACATGAATTGTGGGGTTCCGGGTATTTTATGCAAGCTGGATATTGAGAAGGTGTATAACCATGTGAATTGAAATTTCCTCCTTTACTTATTGGAGAGGATGGGGTTTGGTGAGCGTTGGAAGAGATGGATTCTTTTTTGCATTTCTAGTGCTCGGTTTTCTGTCTTTGTAAATGGAGCTCCGACGGGTTTTTTCTCTTGTTCAAGGGGCTTGAGACAAGGGGATTCACTTTCTCCTTTCTTGTTCCTTTTTGTGATGGAAGCTCTTAGCAGATTGATAAAGAGGGCTGTGGAGTTGGGTTTTTTGAGAGGTTTTCGTGCGGGCAGGGATGTTGCTAGCCAACTGGAGATTTCCCGCTTGATGTTTACAGATGATACTTTAGTGCTTTGTGATGCTGATGAGTCCACTAAGGTATTTGAGATGCGTTTTGATTTGGTTCCAAGTTGTCTCTGGTCTTAAGGTGAATGTTGGTAAGAGCGTTCTTGTGCCCGTTGGGGGTGTTCCTTAGATTGAGATGTTCTCTCAGATTCTTGGTTGCCACACTGGCTCTTTTCCCATTTCTTACTTAGGGTTGCCTTTGGGAGCCCCTTCAAGATGTCATAAGCTATAAATGGAGCTTTTGATCTTATGTACTAAAATTATCATTCCAATTAAAAGTAATGAAAAAATGAGAACACATGCATCATAAACACTCTTAACTGGGCCCTCACCGTTGATTGCATCACCAGCTTCATTAGTAGAAAAGGCATTACTCTCAACATTGGCTGCATCTTTATCGGCATCAATACAACTAGTAAACCATCGCCGGCTGTCACAAGTGTTCCTCGTCATCATTTGCGGCTAACAATACAAAAAGTCAGTCAGCCAAATATGATATGACAGATGAAGATGTAATTTTCATTCAAATTTAAACTCCTACGGAAGATCCAAATTCAAGCTCAAACCAAATTTAAAGGTAAACCAAAAGTCTTTGACAACAATATGAAAAAAAAAAAAAAAAAATTGTTAAATACGCTATATGTAGAATGTAGAAATAGCAATCTTATTCAAGCCAAATAATCACATTGATCAATTCGGGATCATCAGCTTTTTTTCTTTTTTTAAGTTTGAAATCATGGTTATTATCCTTCCCTTAATCCCATATAAATGGAATCGGCTATATCAATTCTCTTATGTCATTCTTTACTATTGAGATCCATTTCTCACATAATATTTAATTTTCCAATCAAGTCTAATTATTCTATTCCAGACTGGTTAGCCTATTTTTCTTTTATTTCTCTTGAAACTAATCTTCCATTTCTTAACGGTGCATCCACAGGTCTATATTATACATGTCTGGACCACCTAAGTCAGCCTTCCCTTTTTCTTTTCTTTTTTTGATAAGTCACCTAAGTCAGCCTTCCTTTTATTTTATTGGCAACAAGTGTCACTCTTGATTTATGTCACGTGTTAATTATTAACCATATTTCTTTTAATTACTCATATCATCTACCTACCCATTCTTATTTCAGCTACACAAATGTGTTTCATATTTCTCATCTAGCTAGCATTCCTATTTCAGCTACACAAGTGCGTTTCATACTTCTCTTTTGTTACCTGACAAGCTTGCTCCCTTAGTTGGCAACTTCATCTTAATATAATTAGACCCCAATTGATCTAACTATACATTCATTTGCGCCACTTGTTGTAATTAGGATGCACAAAAAAGCGGTTAAACCGATGAATCGATCTGAACACAACCAGACCGTATGGTTCAATCTAGTATTGTTATGGCTCGGTTTGGTCCGATTCCAAAAACAGAGAACCGCTAACTCACAATTCCATTCTGGTTTGGGGTCCATTATGACTGAACCATTAATTTGAATATCTATATACATAATATAATATAATATATACATATATATGATGTTGTAGTTTTTTGCTTAATTTATATAATTTCTTCACATCTATTAAGTTTGTTCTTAGTTTTATAATACATACACCCAACAGAGCTGTTGCCGCTATGTTACATAGTTTGAGTGTCAATGTCACGCTTGCTGAAAAGGTATATGAAAAATAAGTGAAAATAGGCAATGAAGTATGCAATCAAATGTTACGATGGTGGCAATGGTTACCATTACTAATGTTCAGAACCGTAGATAGAACTGGACCAAACTAGTTGTGATTTGTGGCCCGAATTTGGTTTCGGGTGACTTAGAGGAAATTTTTGCCCCGTTTTTTCTTGCGGGTCAGACCCATTTTAATACTATCTTGTAATATATAAGGGCGTTTAGGGTTTAGAGTTGGATATTGAGAAACACTCAAAATCGCAGAAAAGATAGTGAAAGCGAGAGCTAGGGTTTGGGGGCTAAAACTTGTGATCTCCAATTTTTCGCATAGTGAAAACTTTCGCCGGATCTTCACAAGGACGTAGGCTTTGCCGACCTATGTTAAATCTATTGGTTCTTTGTATGTGGGATGTTACTTTTCTGTCATGTTTCGTTATTTGTTGTTCTTGGGTTCGCTGCATTTATCGTAACAAACTAGTATTAGAGCTTTTGTTTGAAGCAGGGATGGCATCCAATTTTCTGGAAATCGAGAAGCTTAAAAGCATAAATGATTCAACTTGTGGCAGGTTAGGATGCAGGCTCTATTGGTTTAACACGGGTCATCAAGGCGCTGAAGGGGAAGGATGCACTGCCAGAAAAGATTAAAGACAAAGATAAGGTTATGGAGAAAGCACATATGGCATTTATGTTGTGCTTGAGAAACGAGGTTTTGTGAGAAGTTGTTGGAGATACTACGCTGAATGGACTGTGGAACAAGTTAGAGTCTCAGTATATGACGATATGTCTGGCCAACCGCTTGTATCTAAAGAAGTGATTGTTCACAATTCAGATGCACAAAGATTTGATTCTGAAAGACCATCTTGACAAGGTAAATATTATCATCGTGGACATGAATAATATTGATGTTGATACGATGATGTATGTCACAACTGCTTTGTTCATAGAAGACGTGAAACAGCTCTGAATTCCAAAGAGTTGCCGAGAAGGGCGTTTGAGGCAATACAGAAAGTTCGGCAGAGGGGTTGGTTGTTAGAGGGAGAATGAATCAAAAGGAAGGAATGAAAGGGTAATCCCGTGACTATTCTCTCTTCTGTCTCTAAAAGGGGGCTAGGGTTTCTGGTTGTTTGATACAAGGTGTGCGTAGCATGGAGGAGGGTCAATCCTCCTTCCCCAACCTGCCGGCGATATCTCCGGGCCGGTATCTATCCCCAAAAAGTCCTCCGTGGACGCAGTTCTTTATTGCTTCAGACACAAATCCTTTCAAAAACCTCAAGCATCATAAGGATTTTGGAGGCAAGAATGTATCAATTTCAATTGCTGATGTTGCGGATGAGATAGAACATTGGCAGAATTCTGTTGTTGGGTACGTAATGGGTAGGAAGCCATGTTATCACAATTTCAAATCGTATGTTGAACGGCGGTGGTCCAAGCAAGTTACAGTCGTTTATCTTAAAGACAGCTTTCTTATAGTGCGATTTGAGAATGGTGCAGACACGAAGCGTATTTTATCTAGGGTTAATACTTTTGAGGAGCGGCCGATCATTCTCAATCGTTGGTGCAAGAATGTGAATCTTAAGAAGGAAGTGCTAGAAACAGTTCCTATGTGGGTGATTGTTTACAATCTGCCTGTGCATTGTCGTAATGAAGAATCGGTGTCCAAAGTATGTTCATCGTTCTCAAAACCTATTTATATGGATGATCCGGTCTTGCATAGAGATAAAGGAGTGTATGTCCGGGCAATGGTGGAAGTAGATGTTCATGAGACGCTACCGGATACGATGGTAGTTAATTTTCATGGGTGTGATGAGACGATTACCTTTGAATATGAGTGGAGGCCAAAGATGTGTGCCCTGGGCCAGAGGGTGGATCATGTGGAAGATAGATGTCCTAAGAAAGTTGGTCAAACTAAGCCAAAAAAGGTTGTGCATCGCTGGGTTGTTAAGCGTAAAGGAAAAGAAGAGGATGCAGCTGAGGTGTCTGAGGAATTGTCCAAGAGACAACATGTTACAGCAGCATCAAGTGTTGAGGGAGTGAAGACTACAAATAATTTTGCAATTCTTGGTAGTACAGAAGAAGATGTAGCTTTGGATACGGTTCGGGTGAATAATGCAGTTAATGCGGTTGTGGAAATAATCCTTCAAATGCCTTGCTGCCTGTTACAAATCTCACAAATGCAGATTTGGACGTCTCTGGTTCTAATGACGAAGATTTTGGTAATGCAGTATATGAGATTCTGTTTTGGTGATGGGATCTACATCAGCAATGGGTTCTATAGATCATAAAGGGAATCAGCAGAAGAAGAAGCAGACCCTTCCTCATTCAGATAGGGTGCTTACAGGCAAAGGTAATGGTGGTAGCATTCCACCAAGAGCTTGTTGTCGATGTTGGGTGCATGGAATATTAGAGGCCTGAATAGGCCTTGTATGCAAAAATAATTTAAGAGATTGATTAGTGAGAATAAATTTGCTCTTGTTGTTTTAGTTGAAACTAGAGTTAGAGAGAGGAAAGCTGCTCAGATTCAAAGCAAAATCCGCAGAAATTGGCTTTGGATGTCTAATTATGATTGTAATCCTCTTGGAAAAATATGGATTGGGTGGAATAATGCTATTATGGATGTTTCATTAGTTCATGTTACTGCTCAAACCTTGCTGATTAAGGTGAAATTTATAGAAGCTGGTCTGACTGTGTTTGTTTCTGCGGTATATGCCGCAAATACTGTGACTGAGAGGAAGGATCTTTGGAAAACTCTTCAAGATCATTCTAGTCTGGTTGATGGCCCTTGGTTAGCTATTGAAGACTGGAATGTTGTGAGATATCATGGGGAGAAGAAAGGAGGTTTGCCGGTCCCTCAAAGGGTTCTAGATGAGTTTAATGAAGCCATCAAGCTGCCAAATTGGAGGATTTCCCTGCATATAACGTGGATTGGTCTTGGACTAATAAGCAAGGGAGGGAAAGAAGAATCATTGCTAAATTAGAGAGTTATGGTCAATCAGGACTGGCTTGTTAATTTCACTGATACTAAATTATATGTTAATGCTGTTTCTCTATCTGATCATTACGGACTAGCAGTTAAATGGCACTCTTACTGCTTAGAAGGGCCTAAGCCTTTTAAGTTTTTAAAAGTCTGGAGCAGGCAGGCAGAAGTCGAGGAGCTCGTTCATCAGGCCTGGGCTGTTAACACTTCTGGCTCTCCAATACATCAGTTGATGCAGAAGTTAAGAGAGGTTAAAGGTGTTGTGAAGAAATGGAACATAGAGAAAGGCATGATATCAGAGCAATTACAAAGTGCTAGAAAAGAAATGCTGCAACTTCAAGTTGATCTTTTGAAAAATCCTAGTGATGATCTTGTTATTCAGAAGGAGAAGGTGGCTGTAGATAAAGTCAAAAATTTGTTGGACATGGAGCAGATTATCTGGGCTTACAAATCTAGAGTGGGATGGTTTAATGAAGTGGACAAATGTACTTCCTTTTTTCATAATAAGGTTAAACAGATAAGAGCTTATAATTTTATTACTCAACTGAAGAATGCTACTGGTGAGCTGTCGGAGGACCTAAAGGTGATGAAAGAATGGTTAGTTGAGTTCTACCAAGAGTTACATACTGCTAAAACTACAAGATCTTTAGAGTTTCATCCTAGGAAAGTTTTATCCACTGAGGAAGCTCTTAACTTGGAGTGTGCAGTCACTACAGAGGAAATTCAGTAAGTGGTTATGAATTTTCATCGAGACAGAGCCCCAGGTCCAGATGGATTTCCCTCTAGGTATTTTAAAAAATACTAGAATTTGGTTGGGA